CCGTCGTATTCGTCTGCAAATTTGTCGACGAATTCGTCCCCGTAATTGCCTTTGTATAAGTGACGATGTGATGTAAATGTACACCGCTATGATAAAGCGAATCCTTAACTATGGCGCACAGTGGACGGATTTCAATGAAAATTCGTTTCCTAGTGAACTTGAAGACGCTGAATTCAAAAATGCAGTTTGAAGTGCATTTACATAGTACCTATAGTTCATTCTATTTTCAAAAGTGAGGTTCCAGTTTACAGGGTTTAGTCGGTAGATGTGCAGAAAAGTTTGATTTTTTTAAAAAGGGTTACCACCTATTAAAAAAATGCATTCAAATTATTTAATAAGTTAAATGAATTGGATATTGCAATATGAGTATCAATCGGCATGGTTCTGAAAATACTTTACTTCTGAAGTACACGTATAAGGGTTGCCACCTCTTCAAACAATTAAATTAAATTTAAAGCCGTTACCCTTTCGTTTGTTATTAATATTTTAATATCACATATATAAAAATTGGGTATAATTTAATTTAATTCGATTTGCAAACAGTTGGCGATGCTCTTCAAAATATTTTCGAGCTATGACTTAACTTATTAAATAATTTGAATTCAATTTTTTTAGCAGGTGGCAACTTTTTTCAAAACATCAGACCTTTCTTACACATTTAAAGGACAATGCATTTAATGCAAATTCTTATTTTTAAAAATCGAACAAACGGTGCAGATCTGATGGCATTAACAAAAGATGAAAAAATTATTTGACTGATTTTTAGATTTACTCCATTAAACTTTAGTTATATTTTTATTTTCAACAAAATAAATTTACATTTAAAATATAGTTAAAAATCTAACTTAGTAAGGTAGCCAGCCTTAAGCAAACAATATCAGTTTAGTAGACTAAGGGACGTTTTCTGAAGTAACCTGTAACTTNTCATTCTATTTTCAAAAGTGAGGTTCCAGTTTACAGGGTTTAGTCGGTAGCTGTGCAGAAAAGTTTGATTTTTTTAAAAAGGGTTACCACCTATTAAAAAAATGCATTCAAATTATTGCAATATGAGTATCAATCGGCATGGTTCTGAAAATACTTTACTTCTGAAGTACACGTATAAAACCTCTTCAAACAATTAAATTAAATTTAAAGCCGTTACCCTTTCGTTTGTTATTAATATTTTAATATCACATATATAAAAATTGTGTATACTTTAATTTAATTCGATTTGCAAACAGTTGGCGATGCTCTTCAAAATATTTTCGAGCTATGACTTAACTTATTAAATAATTTTAACTCAATTTTTTTAGCAGGTGGCAACTTTTTTCAAAACATCAGACCTTTCTTACACATTTAAAGGACAATGCATTTAATGCAAATTCTTATTTTTAAAAATCGAACAAACGGTGCAGATCTGATGGCATTAACAAAAGATGAAAAAATTATTTGACTGATTTTTAGATTTACTCCATTAAACTTTAGTTATGTTTTTATTTTCAACAAAATAAATTTACATTTAAAATATAGTTAAAAATCTAACTTAGTAAGGTAGCCAGCCTTAAGCAAACAATACCAGTTTAGTAGACTAAGGGACGTTTTCTGAAGTAACCTGTAACTCTAAAGCTCACTTTATATTTAAAGATGGAAAATAAATCTATGTCTGATGTTAAGCATTTCTGTTATCGGTTTTTGACGTATATACATATGTTTCTTGGTTGTAAACCAATTTAAAACCGTTAATAAAATGCTTCACTTTAGACACAATCATAAATTTTAATGCAACCTTTAAATATAAAGTGCGCTTTAGAGTTAAAGGTTACTTCAGAAAACGACCCTAAGTAGCAAACAAAGAGCGGTCTGTTCGGGGTTAACTGTGATACTGAAATACTGCTACACATTTAGAAGCACTGAGTGTGGTTCTCAATATGACTCCCATTGGTCTATACCTAAAGGAAGTCGCAATGTGCTCAGCAGTAAGACTTAGAAAGACTGGGCTGTGCAAACAGAGACCCTTGGGCACAGCTCAAACATAAACAATGGTCTGATATATATAAAGCCAGATATAAATAGAG